TATCTTTATCTGTGGGTGTAATTGAAGCTCACTCACACTAATAGTAATATCGATTTACATACTCACACACATACACGTTCTGCACGAGTCCGATGCAACATGTGAATTAAATTGCCTAAATGTTACTCCTTACAGTGGCGTAGCTAGAATTTTTATTCGGGGGGCTGATCAAATTTTACCGAACTTTTTGAGTGACTATCATAGACCATAAAAATAATTTTTTGAATTTTCCTAACATTTCGGGGGGGGGGGAGACTGCAGCCCCTCACCCCCCCCATCCCCCCATCACCTCCGGCTACACTACTGACTCCTTAATAAATGATCGCCACCGACACCCTTATGCATTTTTCGCAAAAAAACCTATGACGAAAACGAACGATAACATTGACTGATTAACTAAGTATCAAGTAGGTATGCTCATATACGTGAAAATGTAAAATCCGTGTGTATAATCAAAATATTATCGGTGGTTATTAATTTCTAATATAAATGCTGGTGCAAACGTGGAAAACACTAAGAAATAACCATATTAAATAATAAAGAATATATCAATGACGAACTAGCGCCGATTGATATCATGATATGATACATGCATGTAACCCATATAACTATATAAGAATCATATACAATATATAGTATAATGTATATAGTACCTCGTCTGTGTATAGATAAAAGTTAAAAAGCTATTCATAGTTTCAATCATTATAAAGTAAACTTTTCTTTATCATAGTTTCAACTATAAGTGCAGACCAGGAAAACACAGCCCACACTTATTTCTTTGAATATTTTTTTGTACCTACCTATAGGCATAGTGCATAGATGTATACAACAACTAAATAGCCGTCTGACGTATTTATACTACAGTTGTGAGTGTTGGGACCGATGTTGAAGTTGGCCGCCATTTATAAGCCAGGCAATGTTTACATTTATATTACATTTATTCATACACAAAATACAAATATACTTATATAATATGTACCTATACTGTAATAATATCGTTTTTGAAAATTTCCTGCTTTGTAAATGGCGGCCGACTTCAATGTTAAGAAGGAGACGATTATTTAGTTGTTTATCAAATCTGATATATCTAATATAGGTATATAGGTATATAGGTACCTACATAAACATTTTTTTTTACCAATTTAAAGAAAAGTTAAATACTAATTTAAAAATATATTTAAATTTACACTTAAAATAACAAAATATGCACTAACACGTGAAAAAGAGTAAATTAAACAAAATGCGCAGAAAAAATCACTGTAGATTCCTGGTACAGTACCTACTATATAAAACAAATTTCTATATCGCAAGACGTTACACTATGTTTTAAATGAATATAAGAAATTAAGAAAATACGTAAACTACTAGTCCTAGCCATTAGGTACCTACATAATATCACCTATCACACTCATTTATTGTTTATTATATTGTAAATAAATAAGTTGAATAAAATTAATTATATATAGGTATTAATTCGTATTATTAAGTAGGTATTAAATAACATATTTAATGTAAAGAAAACCAAACATTTTTATTTACATAAGTTATAAACTAAAATATACTAATACTTAACTAATCAGTATAATGTACTAAGGTACTATATTTTTTTTTTTATAGGTCGATACCTACTGTATTTGCTTGATAAGTAATACCCCATTTTCTATCACAGTATGTTAGAAATATTGATATTAGGCGTACTAAAATAATAACATTATTATATTACCTATCCATTCTTTTATACCTGGGTAGTATCCTAGTAATGTGTAATAATTTGTACCTATCTACCTTTTGTTTTTTATATTTATATGTTGATTTTGACTAGGTATATATGCAATTGCATATTGTAATGTATTAATGTATTATGTAGGTATTTAAGGTATTATTATATCCTGAAGTAGGTAGTGTATCAAATACGAGTTTAAAATTTAAATGTACTTATACCTAGATGTGTGATTCAATTTGACAAACGCAATTACCTACTTACAAGTTACAACTGTAGGTATAAAGTACCTAGGTAGTTAGGTAAGTACTAAGTAATAAATTACTTCAAAATGTTTTTAATTATTTGTTGATAAAAAAATCTATTCTTAAATAATTTTATTCGAGATTTCCGATAGAATTATCTATCATGTATAAACCCCCCCAGGTAGGTATCTTATTACAATTGTTGTTTTTGTTCAGTTTGTTAACCGAGTGTCCGAGTTTAAAGTTACAATGACAATAATACAAATTACAATAAGCATGTTTGATGAGTTGGGCAAAAGTTAACATTCGTTCCTTAATTCATTCTTGTATTAAATAAGTTATAATTTATTAAAATAGTTTAAATTAATAAGTACCTACCGACTACCAACCTACCTACTAAGTAGATGATAAAACTATTACTCGGTTTTTGCTACCAATACAATATAGTCGCATACTCGCATAATTGTATAGATCTTAACAACTTAATAATAATTTAGGTACCTACATTAGTCAAGTACCTACTCAAGTACACAGAGATACTTAGTGGCTAGTATTATAGGCTTAAGTATAATATTTATTTTGACGAAATTCGGCGTAGTGTGAAGACAAAGGTACCTACCTATTATTTTCTTTGTCATCTCCTCGTGGACGTAAATTTTTACTCTATCTATGCGGTTCATGCGATAAACACACGAGTTTTTTTATTCTGTTAAAATTGTTTGACTATGTTCTTCTCTTTTCAGTGGTTATCAATTACGACTATATTATAGGTATTATTATTGTATACTTAGGTACATGGCGTGGGTGTGGCCACTGTGACGTGTGAATGAGATTAAATACTATATAGCATTATTATATCTATTATACTCATAAGCATAATAATAATTTTAAAAGCAATAATAAAATATGTTATTGCAGTTGAAAACGTCGCGGCCGTTTTCACCATGATGAAGAAATCTCAGTTACACATAAAATAATATTTATATAGTACCTACCTATTAGTATTATAGTTTGTAGTTATTAAACTAAACATATTATCATTTATCAGTGTTGTAAAGTATTTGAGTTAATGTATTTGAATAAAAGTATTCAAATACTTTTTATTTTGAAGTATTTGAATGGTATTTAAGTATTTTAAATACTTTTTTTTCTATTGAATTCTATTTTATTGAATACTATTTTTTTATTCTTTTAATTCTTAATTTGTTTTCATTTATAATCATTTTTAAATAAAAAAACAGTGCCTTAGTGTTTATCCTTCATCGTTATAACATTATTATATTATATATTTATCATTTATGGACAATTCGATATCGGTTTACGTCGATTAATAGCTTAATTAAATGTTTTTTTTTCTCCAGTCGTCGACGACTTCGGTACGTCGGTACCAACTACCAGAATACCTAAGCTTATTAAGTCAATAACTAAATATATCTTATGCAATAAGCTTTTGCTTAACAGCAACAATTATACTTTATAATTTATTTAAATATACGAAAATATTATTACTAATTATTAGTACTACCTATTTACCAAGAAAATGGTTATCAATAATATCATTATCGTTTATCGTCGACAACGATCGATGACGGTATGGGATATCCAAATATATACCTATATAGTTTTTATCTAATATATAAACTCTGTAGAGAAAAGTTCATTGTTGTGGCGGAACTATCACTAAAAAAGAACTAACATGACTGATCAGAATTTTGATTATTAAACGAATCATGTTTTTAAAATGCAATAAACAAATTTTTGATTAAAACAAATTATATCAGAACTAAATAGAATTTTTTTTTGTATTTGAAGATTATTTCAAATACTTCTAAAAAGTATTTGAGTATTACTCAAATACTTAACTTTTTTAGTTCATATTTGGGTATTATTTTAAATACTTTATTTGAGTAATTACTTAAATACTCTCTAAAAGTATTTTTTACAACACTGCATATTAGGTATGCGCCTGCCGCCTGGCAGTATTAAGAATATTATATTATATTATTATCTGTTACTATATTAATATATTATTATATGTATATACATAAGGACATAAGGACATACTTTCTACAAACTAATTTATATGCATAGTTCACCTCGTCGACAAAAAAATGAAATAAAAGAACATTGAAGTTGATGTTATTTTATTCATTTCTTTACTAAACGCGCTGCGGTATTTTCAACGTCGAGTCCGAACTAGTCTTACATCCACACCAAACTACTGTATTTATTCGTTATTTTCGATTTGTTCATTGTACCTACCTACCTTATAAATTGTGCGATGTTTATAATCGCAAAGCTCACTCATTTTTTCCCGATACGTAGAATGTAGATGATGTCACCATACGAATTTAAAGTTAAATGCCTTAAGTTAGGACTCCGTAAACTTTATTTGCCCAGGGGCCCCGGGAAACCCTCGGCCGTCTAGGCTATAGGTAGGTATGTAAAAATATGTAAGTTCGTATTATTAGTAAAATATCCTGTATAATCAGACTTCTTAACCTATGTAAAATACACATTTTACATTCATAAAAAAGATGTTTCATTTTTAAAAATATCGCATTTTAATATTCTATATAAATAACAACTAGGTATCTACTTTTTGGAGCCTTGTTGGACTACAAATTATAAATACCTAATTATAAAAAATAATAAAATTCTACACATGCATATTGTTTGTTCTCTCTAGTCTGAAAACATATAGTTAAAAAGGTAGACAAGTGGGTAAGTTTTCAGACTAGAGAGATGGAACATGAAATATGGATGTGTATTGTGTACCTAGTATTATATTATTTTTTGTAACTTGGGTATTTTATTTAAATCAACAAAAGCATGAAACGTTTTGCACACTCAACCATGGAACGTTTTGCTCTCTAAGCGACAGTTTGCTATCACGGAGCCGCTAAATTTGAGTGATAACGGTTGTTAATAAATAATATTGTAAACCAAGGATCTGTGTCGCCTCGATTCGAAGTCATCGAATTCATGAGATCAAAAAAAAATATCCCTGTTTGAATTCACCGTTATTGTTTGTCATGTCGAAAAAAAATATTGTGTTCGTTACCGGCAACGTGAAAAAGTTGGAAGAAGTGATGCAAATGTTTAAAAACTTTTACAAAGATTCCGTTCCTTTTGACGTGAGTTATTAACTTATAAGACATTCGTTACCTCGCTTGTCACTGTTTATTTATTTTATTGCAGTTGTCTAATAAGAACATCGACTTGCCTGAACATCAAGGGGAGCGGGACGAAATATGCAAAATGAAAGCGCAGGCGGCTTTTGAAATTATAAAGGGTCCTTGTATTGTAGAAGATACTAGTCTGTGCTTCAATGCTATCGGTGGCCTACCAGGTATATTAGTTACTTGTATTTATGAGTTAGTCTTGATTGACTAAAATTATTTTACTGTTTTTTTTCCCCTATAAGTAATACTTTTCTCTTCTAATGACAATTTTGTAATTATTTTACTAATTCTCAACCTTGATATTTGAATACCTATTATAATTTTATCAATATGAGTTTTTATATAATTAAGGTCAAATATTAAAATAATGGATCATTTTTAACTTACAGTTTTGGAACATATACTAATAGTTCATTTTTTTTTCTAAATGTAGTTTGCTCAATTTTTTTTTAATCAGTATGTTTTTTTGATTAACTATTGACTATTGTGTAATAAAAATGTAAACTCTCCTATTTATGAGTCAATACTAATTTTAACCTAAAAAATATTACATTATGTAAGTATAACCTAAAAAGTAGGTATGAGATAGATGACATTTGATTTATTCCACCCTATTCATTGTTAAAAACTATACTTCTAAAAAAGTCAACAAAAGATGAGTTTTGATATTTTTATTGAGATTACCGCAATTTTTGATAAATTTAATTTTGGTGGGATAGGTTTGGTCATTTCTATGTTAACTAAAAAAAAACATTTAAATTTTAAATAAATATATTTAGAGGTACCTAAGGCATTATAATTTGTATTATTTTCATTTGATTTCATTTAGATTTTGAACAACTTTGCTTGCAATCTTTATTTGTAGTTGATATCACACTATTTATTTTTTCTAGGTCCATATATCAAATGGTTTCTAAAAGCAACCGGTCCTATAGGTTTATATCGTATGCTCAAAGGATTTGAAGATAAAACCGCTATGGCTGTATGTACCGTTGCTTATGTTAATGAACAGGGTGAAGTGAATATTTTTAGTGGTGAAACTTATGGTACGATTATAGAGCCAACCGCAGTTGAAACTTTTGGTTGGGACTCTTGTTTTAAGCCAGATGGATATGAGATAACATATGCAGAAATGCCTAAAGAAGAAAAGAACCTAATATCACATAGGATGAAGGCAATGTATAAATTAAAAGAGTTTCTCGACCAAAATGTAATTGTATGAAATGTTTCAAGTTTTTTTTTTTTTTTTGGTTTTAAATCAATCATTTTTACATTATTAAAAATGCATTTATGTTTTAACATTTCTATGTACATGTGTTTCATTGAGAATTGTTTAGGAAAATATATATTTATTGTATAGATGAAATACTTGTTATCATAAATTGGCTTGAAAAATGTATAATGTTAAATGTTTAATATTAAATAAAATGATATATTGTGTTGTAAAGAATAATTGGAGATACAAATGTATAGGTGATTTTTCTTACTATGATTGATAATGAAATATAGAGAATTTATTTAACACCGCTAATTACAATAGTACTTAGTACTGAGTTATAGTAAATCCATGTGGAACTTGAGAAGTATGCAATAATATTATTGATAAATTAATTTTATTTAAATTACTGAACTATTTAATTTACAATGGTATTCAATATTTTTCAACTCTACCTTCATGAATATAAATTTCAATTTTTTTTATGATAAATATTAGCTTCAATTCATATATAATATATACATCCTTATACCTCAATATATACATGCTATACTATGATCTAAAATGGTTATATTATGCGGTTTTGGGTGCAGTTTATGATTAATAAAAGAATTTTATCAATCTGCTAAATTTTGAATTCAAAATATTCAAATATTATTTATTTTTTTGTTATTATTGTTAAAACTAAAATGATATTTTTCATTGTGTAATTTAAAGTTGTTTATCAATATTATTTTATATATTGTTACTCAATATACTATATACTGTACATAATATATATCTTGTATATATTATCTATGCTTCGATCAATTGATTTTTTTTAATCTTTATACCAAAAAAAATACCTGTTATGTTCATGATAATCTTAGATTTTAAAGATTTGTATATTTTTTGAATACTAAGGGATACTTAAAAAAAAAAATATTGGAATGAGAAGTATTACATTTTATGTCCTGAATGGAGCAACCAAATGTATTAATTTTACAATGATGAGTTTTTTTGTATTTCATAAGAAGTTGAAATAATGCTTTGATTTTCAATAACTTTTCAACTTCCGTTCCTTTTGCGATGGGAAAGTGAGCAGAGGCGGTTTGAATGTATTACACTTAGTACCCCCCCCCCCCCCCCCCCCTTCATCATAGAAATTATAAATAAATATTTTTTATAAATTTTTTCATATACCTAATTTTCTTCAGTTAAGTTGTTTACACTTTTTATAATAACAATGATTCTTAACTTATAATCTTAACTCTACGCTTTCGACAGTTTCAGCTACGATTATCATTTATCAAATGTCATTGATTAGGTACCTACTTCATTACTCAATTGAACATTATAATTAAATATTGCGATCAGCACATGCTCAACAAAGACCACCCACCCCCTAATATTGGCGGTGCAGTGCAAAAAAAAAAACGGTATATTCAAACCGCATCTGAAAGTGACTGCAGTAACTAGAGTCTAGTTGGTGCAGGGAGAGGTCATTATCCCATTAGTGTTCAAAAGCGCCCAGAAAAACAAAAAAAAATTATTGCTTTTGACAAAATGAACTTTGGTTTTTAGTGGAAATCTATAACAAATCACCATAGATACTTATACTCAAAATGTAACCCAACTACCCAAGGTTCCTTGTAACTTGTAAGTTGTACTTAGTGGAAATTAACAAAAATCCACCATACATTTTTATGAGTGTGAATATCGAATTTTTATAAAATTTGTAAAAATGAAGACAATTTTAAAATTATTTTTGGTTAAAAATTAATAAAAAATTTTTCTAACTTTATCAAAAAAAAAAAAATATATCTACCAGAAAGCCAAATTCAATGTTTATGAGAATCTTACTAGAATTTCTCATGGAGTCATTTTCTTATTTTCTTGTAAGTCAAAAACGAATAACCTTAGGTACTTGAAATTTACACCATATGTTTATTTTATAATTTTCTATACTTTCACTTTACTACAAAAATTTTCAAAATATTTTGAATTGTATACATGCATTTTCCTTATACAGTTTTTTACAGTTTTTTTCTATAAATGTCAATAAAATTGTATTTGTTAGGGGGAAGTTTTTGATAACCTCAAAAATATGACTGTATTTAGTTGGTTGATTTTGAACTATCCAACCCCGGTAAAAATTGAAGCATATTAATATTTATAAATACTTTACAAATATGTATATGTATTTTCTGTGCAAAAAATTACTTATTACTATTTATTTAGTGGTACACAAAACTTGTGATGTTATGTCTTAGACCCACCCAAAATGTTTAAATGTAATTTTGTTGGTTTTAATTTTACATCATATTATGACTTATGAGAAGGAAATACTTTTGTACATTGATATACTGAAATCATTATCTCATATATAGTTTATACTATATGGATAAAAATTACTAATATTTAATTTTGATCAAGAGGTTACATAATTTCCAAAGTAAACCTTCATGAGATAAATAACGATTTAAAGAATAATTTTGGATAACTTTTTGAAGTTTGAGATAAGCCTAGTTTGGATTGAAAAGAATTTGAAAGGATCCATAATAATAGAGTAAACAAAACAATTGTTCAAAATGAAATTCCCATACATTTAATTTAGCTAAATGGTAATAAATAAAAAACAATTAATTTCTTATAGAAACATAATTAAAATAACAAGGCTGTATAGTTTAAAAAGTTTATGTTAATTTAAAAACAATAGTAAAAGCTACTTTTGTCCATCGAAACTGTTTACATTCACAAATTTTTGTTTATTTAAACACTTATAATTAATTCTTTGGCAACAAGACTATATTGAAAATTTAAGATCTATCATTAACTAGTTATGTAATATAATATATTATACTAATGTTTTTGTTCAAGTTTATCATTGAAATATTCATTACATACACACACTTATAATATTATTTAGTTTGAGATATATTATTATATATTATATATAATTGATATATTTAATTTTATCGAGGGTTTACCTTCAATTTGGCAAGTTTTAACTTTATTCTATACAATGAACATGATAAATGGAACAATTATATAATTTGTTTGTAATATTATTATTAAATTTTACTTTTTGAAAGGACATAATAAGAGATACTCTTTTAAACTTTAGAGTTTAAAAATTTTTCAGAAATTTAAGTTACCTTTGATAATAAATTATTTCTCCCTGTAATTTATCTTTATATTATAGGTAATATTTTGTTACATATTGTAATTCTCGGTATTCTGAAAAAAATAGTAATGATGAGAACAATATTATTGTACATTATAAATTGAAGTGTTGAGCCAACAGTTTTGTGAAAATTATTACAGTTCACTAGTAATGAAATATTAATTGTCAAAATTAAAAATAGTTACAATGTTATTTTGAATTAAAATGGTACAATATAAACAAATACACATACAATTTGTTACAACAATAAACATCAGATCGATTGAGTTCATAAATGTCCATTAACACATAGAAATAATAAAATTGAACAAACAAAAACATATATTAGTATGTAATACATACCAATTTTATAATAAAATAATGTTCCTAACATGCTAGATTGTGATTTTTAAGTAAATCATTTTAAGTTTAATAAATGAGAAAGAGTATGTAAGCAAAAAGTTTGGAAAGATATAGAAAGAAAAAGTAATAAAAAATTGTTCAATAGGGAATGTAAATGAAGTGATAAAGAAGCAATTTAACCTTGATTTAAAAGTCTGACATTGCTTTTATAAACTTTCCCTTTTTGAATTTTTTTACCAATAAAATAGTTTGAACCGATGTCGGAATTTACATCAATACTAATGATCTGTTAAAAAAAAAAAAAAAAAACAATTATACATATAGGTATATTACCAATTGAAAACAGTAAATATGTTATCGAGTAATAAAGTTACTAACATTTTTGGTAATATTGTAAATTAACTTAACTATCAAACTATTTTTATTAACACAACACGGGTAAATAATGAATACTAGTATTTATAGGCTTAAGTAACTTACTTCTCCTGCACTTAATCTTAAATCATGGGCATCTCGTGGTTCTTGACTAGTAATAACTTTTGCTTGTTGTATACGTCCCAATGCAGGAGTATCAGGAGATAATGTCGCAACATTGTCTTGGTCTGATGGAAATCTAAAAAATAAAATGGCTATTATAATTATAAAATATATCCTATATATTTATTTATTGTATATTATATTGTACCTAATAAAAATCAACCAAAAATCTTAAATGGAAATCTATTCATTTATTTTATAAATGTTTTGTTTGTAATTTAATATTTATAAAATAATAATAGTTAATTAATTAAATATAAATCAAATTTGTCCCAAAAAGTAGTTATTTAACTAGATACATCAAGTCCACAGTTTTGACAATAAGTAACTTATAAGGAATCCATAAAATAATATGATTGATAATATATGAGTAAAATAAAAATTAAATCTAATTTTAATTCAATTTTTATAAAAAAATCTTATTTGTAATTGAGTTTCAATTGATTTCCAACTAACAAAATAAATTTTTTCTTACATGGCTATATTCTAAATATGTCAGCTACTTATGTACCAAAATGTCAAATAAAACAATCAGAAAAAACACGATACAGTAAAACAAGTTGAAATGTTTCAATATCTTATCTATTCATAATGTTAAATAAAATGTCGGTTTATTTTTTTAAAGATTTTTATAAAGATAATCAGTATAAATTAAGTATTTAATGCTACTTTTAAAATTTGTTCTATAATTTGCTAAGAGTAGATTGAGTTTAATGTAAATAAATTGTGAATCACTTGATTTTTTTAAACCTACCCAGAAAGATCTGATTGAAGGCTCATTAAAGACTCATGACATTTTAAATAAAAAGCTGCTTGTGTATCAACAAAGTCTAATAAGTGTTGCAAATGTTGAGGGTGAGCACTGGGAACACCTTCCATCAATAGTTTGGTAATTTCTGCCTGACGATTATACTCTTCTTGAGCTACCTTGAGATCATGTTCAGCCTAAGACAACAATAATAACATTAGAAATTAGAAGAAATAAAGTAATATAAGAGAATAATATCAGCATACTACATAACAAACATAAAAAATTAAAAAGTAAACACATTCCACTAAAAATGTATTCCTTGTTTTACCTTATCTATTAACTCTTCCATAGTAGGACCAGAGTCATCTTGCTGCATAAAAATATTTAAATATCCATTTAACAATATTTAATTTATTTATTAATTAATAATATATACCTTAACTTTAGTAGTTGCAAGCATTCTGGTCTTGCGCACTCGAGTTTTGCAAGCATCTAAGTCAAGTCTACATATTATATAAAATTAGTTAACTTAACAGGCATTCAAGCGTAACGATTATTAATTATGTAAATTTGCCTTCTTTTTTCTAATAGTGAACGTTCCTTGACAACAGTCTTCATGTCAGTTTCTAAATATTTATTCATTGGGTTCACAAAACAGTCATTGGCTGATTTGATGAATTCTCTTTGATTGAGTCCCAGTGTTTGCTGTATATTTCCAACTTTTATAAGTGCACTACCTAAAGTTCATCAAATATTGAGAAAATATTTTATTAATTAAAAAAAATACTTTACCATAAGCTGTATCTGGTCCAAAATCGTTCCCAGCTTCCGTCATGGCAATTCCTAAATATTCTGAGCTGCTGAGTCCAGATTTTTTCTTGTCCAAGAAAAAAAGATTTTCCACTCTCATTCCTAAAATATATACAATTTGTAAGTAAAAAAAGCATAATTGATTATAATTCAAGATTAAAAAAAAACTACCAGGATTAGAATTCAAAATAAATTCCATGTTCTTCAATATAGTTTCGGTGTTTTGTTTAGTGTTATCACAAAAAGTGACTAATTGTTCAAAATTTGGATCTTGTTCTGTTTTCTCTGCTTTACCCAATTTTTCTTCTGTAAACTACATCATATCACAATTTTAAAAAGTTTGTTCAGTATTAATACTTCTAAATACAAGTCTAGATATTTACAAGTTACAACATGTTAAAAAAATCGATATCAGAAGAAATATAATATAAACTAAGTTCCTACTTCTATATGACTATTATATATTAATATTATATTACTATTAATACAATTTATTATCGTTAAGACCCAAATTATTTGTAAAAAATATATCAAACTACTATCACCAATGATCACATACGAAACCACATTTAACGTATTTAGATGAAATATGTACACGAAGATGTACAATATAAAAAAATTAATAAAACTTTTTACCACACATTTTCTATGTATACTAGTAGAAAATTCTTTGAATATTAAAATGTAAAACGGATAATGTAAAATATTACAATCGAGTTTTTTAAAATGTTAGACATATTATTTTTGGAAATAAAATTATTTAACTATCAAGAATCAATATTATCAATATTATAGATGTAAAACAAAAAAAAAAGATGGGAAAATGGGTACGATTCTGCTGTACATAAGGTGTCGTGTGGGATGTGTTAAATTTGAATTGAATTATATAAAAACTTTGTACACAAAAAATGAAACGCTGAGCAGTTCATCCTATATTATTAATTTTATGATATTATTGCTAATAAAGTAATTTATTTTACTATTAGAGATTAATAATAAAAGTAGGTAGAATTAGTATGTAAAAGTAGGTTTTCTTATACAATGATATTATATCATTGAATTCAAATTTAATACTATTCATTATACAGTGACCTACTGTACAGCAGAGCACCTTTTTATATTTAATTCCAGTAATAAAAACTTGTCAGTAATATTTTATTACATTTTAAGTTTTTTGACAGAGTGAAAAATTATATAATCAACATTTATGGAAATAGAATTGTAATAATTAATATGTCAAATGTATAAAATGTTTATATTATTATAAAGTTGAAACTAGATATACATAGTTATTGTACCTAGAGCAGCGGTTCTCACTTCTCAACCAGTGGTATGTGGAAAACTCGTCGGTGGTACACAAAGAAAATTTCCCCTTAGGAAGAAAATGGAATGGATTATTATCTAGATTCTAGAGTATTGTATTTGGGAAAATTTACAGTAATCAGTGGAGGGCATAGGCCACATTAATATGGATTTAAACTTAAAAAGTGCATTTTAGTTAATATTAATAATTACTGGCAGACTTAAAGTTAATTTTTAAGCAGCTACAACTTTTTTCAAAGTGGTGTTAACAGTGACACCGAATTCTTTATCAAGGTCTGGCCATGGGTACTACATTTTATTTACATCATAACTTATAAGCAGGGCTAGGATTTATATGCAACAGCATGTTTTTTTAGCAACTTTTCACTATTGATTTTGTCAGTAATGTTCACGAATCACCTCATGATGAGATAAATGGTGGTATTTTTATTTTACTTGTTTTTGCATATATTGAATAAAATGAATATTATTGCATATTTTTATTATAAGAATGCGAAAAATACATGTTTTTTAGTATATTTCATAAGACTTGGTTTTTTTGACAAACATAAATTTTACTTTTATAAATACAATCCTATGGTACAATAGGTATGAGATAAAAGATTGAATAGTTTGACATTCATTTTCGAAAATTTAAAAAAATATGTGGTCGTACCATCTAACACGTAGAGAATGTTAATTATAAATCTTATTTCTAAATTATTATTTTTTTTTCTCAATTATATTATTTTAAGACAAACAAACATTGATGTATTTCAATAAATAAATATTTTTTTTGTAACTATATTTTTGTGTTTATCTTATAAAAAAACTGAAATGCATATTTTTGCATATTTTGGTAAATAAAATGCATATTTTACCATTTTTTATTGCATACAAATCCTAGCCCTGCTTATAAGTAATTATCGAGATAATAATGTATTTCATAGTATATCGTAGTGGCGGTGTAAATAACTACTTATATATGAAATTGTATCATCTAAAATTTAAATCCAGTCTGCCACTGATAATATGTTGAGCTCATTATTATACTAGTAATTATAAAATAAATTTAAGTATAATAATATATGTAAGTACGGTAATTCAATACTATTTTCATTTTTCAAGTAGATTAAGTACCGTTTAAAAAAGAGAGTTTGGTAATTGTATATATCACAATTTCATTTTTTATTAAAAATGTACAAATTATTCTTTTATTTAGTAGTTTTGATTGAGTTAAATCTATATATTAAAAATTTTTGGTTATATACTTATATAAAAATTAAAAAAACAGCTATTAATTTAAATAATTGTAAATAAAATTATTGTGATTACAAATTAAAAATATTCTTAGTAGGCAGTGGCGTATTTACGATTTTGGAGCACTAGGTACACACATTTTGGCGCCTCCTTTTTTTCTCAGTTTCCTTTTATTCATTGTCACAAAAAACTTTTAAGCCCCCCTCTAATTTACAATTTACTTTTTCTCTCAGTTAATAGTGCAGGGCTTGAAACCGGTATAAACCGTTATAAAACCGAAACCGAGAACAAAATCAAAACTGAAAAAAATTGGAAACCCGGTTAGGTTAGGTTAAATTCAAGGCTGTCATATAGTATGCGGTCTACCTGCTATTTGCGAATATAGTACCTATGCGGTCTACCACAAATAAATAAAGTATCAATTATATCATAATATTATAGTATAATTGTTGTCAAAAATGATGAATATTGTGCATTATTGTGAATTATCTTAAATAATTAAAAATTTGATTGTCAAAAATATTGTTGTCAAAAAAAAAAATAATAATAATTTTAAAAAAAACATATGTTGTCCATATTACAAAAACTTCAGCCATAATATCTCTCAAAAATGCATTAAATAAATCCGATTTATTTATTCCTCGCCACCATCTTTTACACGCCGCTTTTGAAAACTACTGTTAAATTTATACCGGCAAATCAAAAACCAAAATAAATTTTTTCAATCGGTTTCAAGCAGTGTAAAAGTGATAATTGATAACCCAAAATTTATATTTTCCCTTTATTACATTTATGCTTCCACTAATTTAGAGAACACTTTTATTTTACCATTAACACACCGTTTATTCCTAATTAAATAAACAAATTATAATTTAGATTTTAGCCTTTTATTACCACAATTTAATAAAATACATTAATTATATATATTATAGTAATAGAAATATATATAGAAATGTAAAAGATATTACAAGAAAGATACATTTATTCACTTATCAGTTAACACTAATATAATTTCTCAACAAATCCAATAAAATAAAAAAATAATTTTGTTATAACCTCTAGCGACGGCGCCCCAGGGCAATTGCCCCCCGTCCCCCCTAAAATCCGCCACTGTAAGTAGGAATATAATTGATAAAAACAAAACTAGATATTTACATTTGAGTATAGTATACTAGTTGTGAATTAGTTACTTAAATGTTTAATGTTAGAAAATATCTAGGTACCTATATATTTAAATTGGTTGGTTAATCCTTTTATCTGTAAGAATAATTATTTTGATAAAAGTAAATAAAATAATAGGTAGTTTGAAATCAGAATAAGAACTTGAAAAAAATTATAAATATAAAATGTTAAGTAAATTATAGTTCCATATGTTTACAAAACTAGTTCCTAAATTATTAATTCAGATTTTAGATACTAAAACTAACAGTTTAACGACAACTTTAATCATCGAATGGTGGTGCAGCAGCTGTTTACCACAAAACATACAATACGATCATCAACATTTTTCGTAAGCATGCCTAGCCTCAAACGTCTACGTATAATAAGAAGTACGAGGTACAATTGTACGAAAGATTAATAAAGTTGTTATTATTATTATTTACTTGCACGGCTCTGCTGATCGCGGTGCCAGCGTCTCTGAATATCTGTTTTACGTTTTCCATGTCCATAATGAGCACAACGATCAATGTAACGGGATGACAATATCGACGATTGACTGACTGAGCTGTCACTCGTCAGATCGATGCGTAATTTGTATGTTTTATTGGAGATGAAAACAATTATTAAATGAGAATTTCAGAACACTGAGATCTCTGACGACGGTCGTTGTATTCGTGCCCTCCGTGTAGGTGGTCGTTATCTCATAGTCTCGGTTAGTGGTCATGCGTATTTCCGAAGCAACTGTTACGACCAGACGGAGTGATAGCAACAGCGTAGATCATAGATAATAGATAATTGATAATCTATGGCGTTGTGGTGATTCCGGCGCCTTATCACCACTTACGCTAGCGCGCCCTTTTTCAAATAACCATTTTTTAAATTGTATTCGTCTTGTGATTTATATTGTATACTTTTTATTTATTGTCTCTGTGAAATTATTATAAAATATTGTACCGTCTTTGGTCACGTGACGACCCGACTTTTTCTCCCGCCTCGCGCGGCGACTTCGCCGTTACGCGCTCGAAGCCGCCGTCGCGCGCTACCATCGTCACTCGCTTTTTCGCTCTCGATGCAAACTCGAGCAGCCCCACGTCACGACGACTTGCTTTTATATGTACTCGATTTACTTCAGTTTTTATGTCTTAACTATTTTTGTGTTTTAAAATATTACTCCGTCGATTCAACCTCGCATTTGTCATTTCGTCATTTACCTCCTATCTACCTACTTTAAAACCTCCTGATATTGGTGTCAAAGAGTAAGTAATATCCGGCGCACCCGAAACCACGTTTCGGACCACAACAGTGGTAACGCACCACGGGTATTACCACATTGGTGACCTCCGAATTCGTTAAACGACAATACCCAGTAACGTTCTGAGGTACTCGATTCCGCCCGCCGATTTCCGACACGAAAGTTCCGCCCGACCGCGAGTGCGTCTACCGAACCCGACTTTCACGACCAACGTCGAGTTCATTTTTTTCACCCGCGTTTATCCGCGAGATCCAGAATGATCGAGCCCAGCATCACTGTCGCCGCGACAGGTGGCAATCCACCAATCACCACCACGACGATGGCGACCACGACCACACCGAGTGCTTACGTGGAAACCGCATCTTTCACTCACGTCAGGCTTCCGGGGTTCTGGCATAACTCCCCTACGCAGTGGTTCACGCACGCGGACGCCATGTTCGCGAACAAGCGAATCCGCTCGGATCTGCCGCGAGTGAACCACGTGCTTGAAGCTCTGGACGAAGACGGTGTCCGCACGATCGCGGATCTGCTCGGATCGGACGCGACGTACGAGTCCATCCGACAACGACTCATCGCCGCATACAGCATTCCGCAAGCAACGCGCTTCCAGCGCATGATCCAGCCCGGCGGCATGGGCGATCGCGCCCCATCACGCCTGCTCCGGGACATGCGGGAAATCTACCCCGACGGCATGACGGAGGCCTCTCTGCTCGCGTTTTGGCTGAGCAAGCTGCCGCCACCTGTCCGCACCGTCATCGCCGGTCTTACCGGTTCCGTCGACTTCCTCGCCGAACGCGCCGACCGAGTTTGGGAGGCGTCTCAGAGCAGTGAAATTTCGGCTGTCACGAGGGACCACGACTTACGCGAGTCGCAACACATCACTCGCCCGATCCCGCCGGCAGGTCCACCCGACCAAGACGCGCGTTTTCTCGCGCTTGAAAACGCGATACACGCGCTTACAGCTCAAGTCGCGTCCCTGGCCACATCACAAGCAGCCGCGTTGACTCGCACGACCAACGATCGTTCCACGCGCCAACAGCGTGATCGCTCCCGCTCGCAGTCGCAGCCGCGGCCCATCATAACGGCTGGTTGGTGCTACTACCACGACCAGTACGGCGCGGATGCGCGCAAGTGCCGCGACCCGTGCACTTACGTGTCGGCGACACGGAAAAATCCATGAGGCGGCGGTGCTTCAACAGCACCTCGCCGCGCGAACACACCGACTCTTCGTCAACGACACCCGTACCGGTCGTCGATTTTTAATCGACTCCGGCGCGGAAATTTCGGTGCTACCGCGACCACCCAACTTTCGGCAAAACAACGGCCACACTTCGAGCAACGAAATAAGACTCGTAGCCGCAAACGGCTCACAAATCAAAACCTACGGACCAAGACAACTACATCTCGATCTGGGTTTCAAACGACTGTTCACCTGGACGTTCGAAATGGCTGACGTTTCTCGACCTATTATCGGAGCCGATTTCCTGCATTACTACGGTTTGCTCATCGACATACGCCGAAATCGCCTTGTCGACCTCTCGGTAAATAGTTCGGTAAAAATCACGCCCGCTACCGCCTCGCCCCGTACCGCGATTTGTGCCGTCGCTCGACCATCGAAGTGGACTGATATACTTCGCGACTACCCCGAAGTCACGCGCGAATCGCCCGTACCGACCAAGTTCCTACATGACGTGGTACACGAGCTACATACCACCGGCCCAGCACTTTTCGCCCGACCACGCCGACTGCCGCCCGATCGTCTACGAATCGCACGGCAAGAGTTCGATTTCATGCTGCAGAAAGGCATCTGCAGGCCGTCATCGAGTTCGTGGGCCAGCCCACTTTTACTGGTTCCGAAAAAAGACGGTACGTTTCGACCATGCGGTGACTACCGCCGGCTCAACGCTGTCACGGTGGCCGACCGGTACCCGTTGCCGCACCTACACGACTTCACGGCAAACCTCGCCGGAAAAACGATTTTCACGAAGCTCGATTTGGTACGTGCTTATCACCAAGTTCCGATCGCGCCAGACGACGTACACAAAACCGCAGTCACGACACCGTTCGGTCTTTTCGAATTCCCCGTCATGTGTTTTGGGTTACGCAACGCCGCTCAAACTTTTCAGCGAGTAATAAACGACATACTACGCGGACTGGATTTCGTTTTCGCGTACATCGACGACGTGTTAATCGCCTCACGCGACGAGACCGAGCACGTTAAACATGTCCGTACCGTCCTCGAACTTTTTCAAAAATACGGTATCGCAATCAGTCCGGCGAAGTGCGTTTTCGCGACCGACACGATGCTGTTTCTCGGACACGTAATCGACAAAGACGCGTGCCGACCGAACGCCGAACGTGTTACCGCAATACACGAGTGGACGCGGCCAAACACGAAAAAAGAGCTGCAACGGTTTTTGGGTTCGGTAAATTTTTACCATCGATTCATTCCGAACGCCGCCGAAATACAAGCGCCTCTTTACAGCCTTGCGTCGCAAATCAAAAATCGTGACGGACCACTTCAATGGACAGACGACACTCGAGCCGCTTTCGACGCGTGCCGCCGAGCCCTCGCCGACACCGCGAAACTCGCTCACCTTAGCCAGAACGCCCCCCTACGTCTCAACACCGACGCATCTAACGTGGCAGTGGGCGCCGTTCTCGAGCAACACGTCGACGACCGGTGGCAGCCCCTCGGGTTCTTTTCAAGAAAGCTCTCGCCCACCGAACAGAGGTACAGCACGTACGACCGGGAGCTACTCGCCGCCTTTTTGGGCACACGTCATTTCATTCACATGATCGAAGGACGACAAACGACATTACGTACAGACCACAAGCCGCTTACGTATATGTTCTCGCTCAAGTCCGAAAAAATGATCGACCGACAAGTGCGCCAAATTTCGTTCCTATCGCAACACATACACGACGTCGTGCACATTCAGGGCTCTGATAACGTCGTGCCAGACGCGTTATCACGTATCGAGATCGCCGAAACAGCTGACCTACCGACAATGCAACAGTGGGCCGCCGACCAAGCCGCTGACCCGCAATTGCAACAGCTTATCAGTGGTACCGCGACGAGTTCACTACGCCTGCAACCGCGCGTATCAGTCGACGGCGTAATCTACGCGGATTACACGACCGGCAACGCACGCTTGTTCGTACCGTCCGTACACCGCCTTCGAGTTTTTAACGCGCTACACGGATTAGCGCACGGCGGAAATCGCGCCACGCTACGACTCATCAAATCTCGATACTGCTGGCCGGACATGCACAAAGACATCACGCGATGGACTCGATGCTGCGAACCATGTCAACGCGCTAAGGTACTTAAACACACAGTTTCACCGATCACGCCTTTCGCGCCGCCCGAACGTCGTTTTGGTCACATCCATGTCGATCTCGTCGGACCACTGCCGTCGTCCAACAATTTCAAGTACCTACTCACCGTCGTCGACCGATTCACTCGCTGGCCAGAGGCCTGGCCACTCGAAAATATGTCAGCTCACGCAGTCGCACAATCGCTGATCGTGAATTGGATCGCACGATTCGGCGTTCCCGACATCATCACCACCGACCAGGGAAGACAGTTCGAGTCCGACTTATGCCGTTCTCTTTTTTCGACTTTCGGCATTCAGCACACGAGAACTTCGCCGTATCACGCTCAATCAAATGGTTTGGTCGAACGTTTTCATCGAACGCTTAAGTCCGCGCTCACTGCACACGAATCGACACAGTGGTCAACGAAGCTGCCAATCGTCCTCCTCGCACTGCGCAACACGATCAAGGTTGGTTTCGAGCACTCTCCAGCCGAGTTGGTCTACGGCGCGACACTTCGACTTCCTGGTGAAATGTTTCACGCCGCGCCCGCCGAACCTAAACCGCCCGAGCTCGTAGCGACGCTCCGGGACTTCATGGCGCAGCTACGTTTCACGCCCGGTACCAACCACAGCACACAACGCGCTACGTTCGTACCGAACGACCTAAGCCAGGTCAGTCACGTTTTCGTCCGGATCGACGCCGTCCAGCCGCCGCTCCAGCCACGTTACGAGGGACCTTTTGCAGTTTTGGAACGCCGCGAAAAAACATTCAAGGTACAGCGCCACCGATCAACGACGTGGATTTCCATCGACCGACTCAAGCCAGCATTCATCGCCCGGGAAGATCCTACCGCCGACCATTCGTACGCCGCGCAATCGATCGAACACCCCCCAAAAAAACGAGTCCGTTTTTTTCCCGCCGAGGGGGAGTAATGTGGTGATTCCGGCGCCTTATCACCACTTACGCTAGCGCGCCCTTTTTCAAATAACCATTTTTTAAATTGTATTCGTCTTGTGATTTATATTGTATACTTTTTATTTATTGTCTCTGTGAAATTATTATAAAATATTGTACCGTCTTTGGTCACGTGACGACCCGACTTTTTCTCCCGCCTCGCGCGGCGACTTCGCCGTTACGCGCTCGAAGCCGCCGTCGCGCGCTACCATCGTCACTCGCTTTTTCGCTCTCGATGCAAACTCGAGCAGCCCCACGTCACGACGACTTGCTTTTATATGTACTCGATTTACTTCAGTTTTTATGTCTTAACTATTTTTGTGTTTTAAAATATTACTCCGTCGATTCAACCTCGCATTTGTCATTTCGTCATTTACCTCCTATCTACCTACTTTAAAACCTCCTGATATTGGTGTCAAAGAGTAAGTAATATCCGGCGCACCCGAAACCACGTTTCGGACCACAACAGTGGTAACGCACCACGGGTATTACCACAGCGTAGTCGCGTAGATATTACTATGGATAATACCACGGACTATGATATACTATGATCTTAGTCCGTGGATAATACAGTGGTGCAAGTGTCCATATATATGCACTGGCGCACAGACGTCAGCCATAACAAATAATGATGATCAATATTTTAATTTTTAATCTACTGTACTGTTGCAATATGTAGGTATATTGCATAGGTACAATTATTTATCGTATTTTCAAAAAATTATTGAACTCCTGCATTGGCATTATTTAACACCTTATCATATGAGTGAACATTAAATTATAAATTGAAAACAATTAATACTAACAAATTACAATTTAATAGGATAGGCCATAGGCAGGAACACGTAAACTGAGCTCATTTAATGAGGTATAATTATAAATTATAATATAATATAATATATCTTGCTCAATCAAAATGTAAGAGTTAAGACCATACGTTATGAGTTATGACTAATCCTAATGTAATCCATGATTCCTGTATAATATAAGTTATAAGTTATAACAGACTATTGTACTGTTTAGTATTTAAATATTTTATTTTAAGTAAATGTTAAGAATTTCCAATAAGAAGCATTCGTAGGCATAGGCGAAACAACGGGTCAGGCCATGGCCTGGCCTAATACTGACTACATATTTGTATATATTATATTATTATATTTTAATAATTATTTAGGTATTATAAACAGTGGTGTATTGGGGGGTATACGGGGGTATACGGCGTATACTCACTTCTCAATTTTTTTTTTTAGCGTATACTCTCTAAATAAACGGCGATACGCGGGTATACGGACGTATACCCCCGTATACCTATTAGAATTTTCGCTGATAAAAACAAAATGTTCTGTATATTTGTAATTTTCATTTCATATATACGTTATTATAACATATTATACGTTATGGTGAAGATGAAATCAAACGATTATGTAAACTTTTTCAAGTCAATAAGAATGATGCTATCAATGGATTCAGACAAATAATAGATGATCAAACAGTTTCATTTAAAAATGTTATGCCTGAATTTTATAACTTGGTACAAACATTTCCTTGTTCAACAGCAGAGTGCGAACAGAGGGGTTCAGTCTAATGAACAATATATGCACTAAGTTACGTTCTACGTTAACTATTAAACATTTAGCCAGTCTTATGTTTATAAATGTAAATGGTCCTCCACTAGATGAATGGGAACCAAAAAGTTATGTCAGTAGTTGGTTGGTAAATCATAAGACTGCTGAAGATACCAGAACAAAAAAAAACGTCAACCAGGAACCAGAAACAAGAGAGGAAAAAAAAAGCATATAGAAAATATTATAGATTATAATAATTATTATTAAAATACCTATGTATTATTATTATATTTATATGAATTAATTTGTTATTAATAAAGAAAACTTTTATCAATTTGTAATTGTTTGGTTTTAGTTTTTAGTTAAATGTTTTATATTTCAGTATTTTACTAATTGATAATAATTAGATACTCTGAAATGTTATGTTTAGGGCAAGGAATTGCATGCATTTACATACTTTGTAGTTTTTATGGTTAATTTTGTGACATGGGAGTAACAAAATACAATTCACAAAATTCGGGATGAAATACCTACTTAACCTATTTAGTGCATATTTTGACTATTTTGGTTTTAAAAGCAATATATTTAAAATAAAAAGTAATTTCGTGATTTAATTTGATTTTGTTTTTCATTCAGTTAGTAGTTGAAAGATACTTGTATATTAATTGTAATCTGATAATTAGATAATTTGGTCATTATCGTATTCGAGTGAAGCGAGAAAATTTTTTTTTTGATTTAATGTTATAGTTATGTCATTGATACCTAAGATCTAGAAGGCGTATACCCACGAATATTTTTAGCAATACACCACTGATTATAAATAGTATATTTATACACGTAAACGTACATTGTTAACATTTCTTAAATTTAATTTAACATTCCTAAATTAAATTGTACACACTACACAATAAACATAATAATACAATTTATTTTGAACATTGATTATGGAAATATGGAGTCGTATGGTCTATTCTATGTATAGGTTTTACTAGTTATTCTTTAATTTAGACCTTTGACGTTTATTTTTATATTATATCAAGTAATAGGTAGTTAATTTTACTTAACAAGTCGCTAGTCAGTAATGTTTGTTACGTGGTGACATACCCGTACAAAATTATTGTCGATTATACATTTATACGTACCTACCTACTTTTATATTTTCATATTATTTCTTTTATAATAAATTCATATTTTAGATTCTGAGTGGAACGATGAATGTATTGATTTTACAATGATGTGTGTTTTTATATTTTTTATATTTTTGAAGTGAAACTTCTTATGTGAGGGGTATCGAAAAAAAAGAGAGTGACGCTCTGACCGTCATGGACGCTCGGGCGTCACGGACGATCGGGCGTCACGAAAACGGTACGATGTTTTGTTTATAAACAAACCAGTATAAATGTATAAACAATATTCCGTAGTCAAGTTGATAAAAGCGAAAACGCATATATAATAAATATTCCAGAGTGCGCGATGAGTAAAAGAAATGTCGCGGAATATGAGAGTTCGGCCGGAACATTATAAAAATATATATAATATACTATTTTTAGGTGAGTCAAATTATGTATATTAAAAATATAACTCGATGAATTTAATCATATTATATGACTATACTATAAGTATTTAATAAATAATAATAATAATAATTAATATTTAGTTAATACTTGACACATTTACAATGACCAACGCACCTATATTTTTCAAATAGTATATAATACTTTGATGGTTCAATTGTATAATGATATGACATAATTTGATATTACTCAATATATATGTCTATGGTCTATCAAGTATATTTATTTATTTAATATCAAATGTAATAATTTATGAATAACAAATTGATATATATATTATGTACCTACATAATATGACTAATGTATTTTATAGATGTATGTATATACATAATAGTAGGGTTATATTATATGTATGGACATGAATTACTACTGATATTAGTAAATATTTTGGTCCATTGGTCTAAAAGTATAAATTAAGTACCTACACATAATATTATAAAGGTAGGTAGTAGGTATTACTTAATATTACCTTGGTATTACGGTTTTTAGGTGAGAAAACAAAATATAACTTAATGTATTTAATTAAATTCTGGCAGGTAAATTGCATAATGGTATGACTAAACTATACTATACTAATTAAACTATTTAATAAATAATAATAATAAATATTTAATTAATACTTGATTTCATCTACATATTTACCATTACCAACGTACCAATATGTTTCCTTTATACTTGGATAGAAAATGGTACAAGTACAATTATTTATATTATATATAAGTAACCTACATGTATACTTTGTAGAAGGTACCTACTTGATATATCATTATTAATACCATAAATATATATATACCATTAATTAACATAAGATTATTATTATTATTATTATTACAAAACCTCATATCAGTTGTATGACTGAAAGAAGTTTCACTTCATCCCCGCGTACTTCTTACACGCTCGATTTTTTTTTTGAAGTTAAACTTCTTATGTGAGGGGTATTGAAAAAAAAGAGAGTGACGCTCGGGCGTCACGGACGCTCGGGCGTCACGGACGCTCGCGCGTCACGAAAACGGTACGATGTTTTGTTTATAAAGTTTTTGATATTTTCCGTTTCAATATTTTGTAATCTTTTTGGAAACATATCATATGATATTATAAACAAACCAGTATAAACGTATAAACCATGATAAAATAACATGGTATGATGGCAACGAACTGAATATCGTCGGAGTTTGCGCATTTCATTGTATCCAGTTCTCCTCATAATGCACTATGTATATATATTGATCATGAAAACCAATGAAAAGCGGCGAACTGGATACAGCTCTGTATGATGGTCGGCGGGGTAAGGGGTATGCGTATCATAAAGTTGCCAGCATACCATGTTATTTTATCATGGTATAAACAATATTCCGTAGTCAAGTTGATAAAAGCGAAAACGCATATATAATAAATATTCCAGAGTGCGCGATAATATAATATAATATAATATAATATACTATTTTTAGGTGAGTCAAATTATGTATATTCAAAATATAACTCGATGAATTTCATCATATTATATGACTATACTATAAGTATTTAATAAATAATAATAATAATAATAATTAATATTTAGTTAATATTTGACACATTTACAATGACCAACGCACCTATATTTTTCAAATAGTATATAATACTCTGATGGTTCAATTGTATAATGATATGACATAATTTGATATTACTCAATATATATGTCTATGGTCTATCAAGTATATTTATTTATTTAATATCAAATGTAATAATTTATGAATAACAAATTGATATATATATATTATGTACCTACATAATATGACTAATGTATTTTATAGATGTATGTATATACATAATAGTAGGGTTATATTATATGTATGGACATGAATTACTACTGATATTAGTAAATATTTTGATCCATTGGTCTAAAAGTATAAATTAAGTACCTACACATAATATTATAAAGGTAGGTAGTAGGTATTACTTAATGTATTACGCTTTTTAGGTGAGAAAACAAAATATAACTTAATGTATTTAATTAAATTCTGGCAGGTAAATTGCATAATGGTATGACTAAACTATACTATACTAATTAAACTATTTAATAAATAATAATAATAAATATTTAATTAATACTTGATTTCATCTACATATTTACCATTACCAACGTACCAATATGTTTCCTTTATACTTGGATAGAAAATGGTACAAGTACAATTATTTATATTATATATAAGTAACCTACATGTATACTTTGTAGAAGGTACCTTCTTGATATATCATTATTAATACCATAAATATATATATACCATTAATTAACATAAGATTATTATTATTATTATTATTACAAAACCTCATATCAGTTGTATGACTGAAAGAAGTTTCACTTCATCCCCGCGTACTTCTTACACGCTCGTTTTTTTTTTTTATTTTTGTGTCTGTGTACACGATAAGTAGTTGAAATAATGCTTCGATTTTCGACTTCAGTATCTTGTTTGATTGGAAAGTGAATACCGTTGGTGCATTGGGGAGGTAAAATTTTAAAATTCATAGTACTTTTCAAAAGCGCCTAGAAAAACAAAAGAAAAATTAAGGAAAAACGGGAATTTTTACGCAAAATCGTTTTTCAGAAAATTGAATTTGGTTTTTGGTGTAACTTTAAAACAAATGACCGCAGATACATGAAATTTTCACTGGTTGTTTATATTAGCATTTCCTATACACCATACAATATTTTGACTCTTTTTGAGCTATTTACGAACATTTACCGCTTTCATTTTTTTTTAGTTTTTTTTTCTATAAATATCAATAAAGTTTTATCTGTTGGGCCAAAGAGTGTAAAAATTTAATACAAGGCTCCTGATATATTGTTACAATATCAGTTGAAAAATATTAAAAATACATAGGCACAATTTTTTTTATAAGCATTTAAAGATCGAATTTTGTCAAAATTTATCAAAATCTCGAAAATTATCAATCATTGTAATTAATAAATTATAAAATGTTTAATTTTTATAGCTAAGGATTGCAAATTCAAAACAAAGGTTCTCATAAATAGTTCATACTGTAACCAAAAATCTAAAAAAATATGAACACAGACACACAGTTATTTTTTACAGACATTTTAAATTCAAATTTGAACAAAATTACATATTAAAAAACCTAGAATAACTATTTTAGTTATTTTGTTGTGATTGAATAATATTATTCGTGGGTACTTGAAACTTCTAAAGTGTACTATTATATATCTATGATAGTATCACGGTTTTTGTTGATGTATATCGAATTATAAGTACCTAATGGATATTGTGATATGATTCATTTGGAATTTCTTATAGGTACCTATTTTAGGTAAATTTTTTTTAATACGATAGATAAGTATATAATATGTCTTATACCTAGACTGACATACCGTCTCCGCTCAGAATCGTTTTTCTTATACAATGATATTATATCGTTGAATTCAAATTTAATATCATCCATTATACAGTGACCCACTTGTAACCTACTGTACAGTAGAGCGACACCCACTTGCCCACCTTTTAGATTCTGAGCGGAGCGATGAATGTATTGGTTTTACAATGATGTGTGTTTTTATATTTTTGTATTTTTATATTTTTATATTTTTATATTTTTTTTGTGTCTGTCATCACGTTTTGGGACAGTAAAAGTGCTTAGATTTTCTTCAATAGTACCTTTTCTGATAGGA